TAACCTAGTTTAAAAATTTAAAGGCAAGGTGATTATCAAAGTAAAATATGATTACATTATTTATAGCATTGTTTTGTGCATAAATGAGAACACCTAAAGTTACTTTAGGGGATCAGTTAAGTTTATACACCATATTACTGTGCTAAGAGGAAGAGCTAGGTCTGTATGTGCTCAGATGGCAGGTCTGCAGGTCATATGGTTGAATGAACAAAGCAAGTAACCAGACTCTTCATGGGTTGTGTTTCTGTTTAGGTAATGAAACTAAAACTTAATTGTAAAAGAACTTTTTATAAAAACTATATCAGATGTAGAAGATTGGGAGAAGGCCACGTGATAGAGAAAAAGGATAAATTTAAACTTACATCGGTGATTTAATATCACTAAAATTAAAATAAATAAAAAATTCGGTCCCTCAGTTACTCTAGGCACAGTTCATTTCATGGACTCAGTAGCTGCATGTGGCTTGAAGCTACCATATTGGACAGTGCAAAAGAGGATGTTTCCATTGCAGATGTTTCTGTAAGGCACTGTTCTGTGCTCTGTACCCTTGCATTGTTTGAATTTTATATGGTAATGCATCTTCATTTGTGCTTTAAGAGTAATAATGTGCTTATTATAAAATATTTGGAAAATGCTCGAAATATAAAGAAGCAAGTAAAAGTCACCCATAGTTCCATAATATTTTTGTGTATTTCTTTCTAGTCTGTCCCCCACAGTATGTTTGTTTTTTTTTTGGTATGTTATAGGAGCAAATAAGATATTTTAGATACAATTTTATATTCTGTGTATTTTAATGGTTAAAGTTAAAATATGAAGTAGTTTTTTTTTTCTGGTAGCATAATAGAACAGAACTTTGTTTTAATATAGTCCAGTTTCAGCTCCTCAATACCATATACTGCATCAGTCTACTTCATCTTTGGTGGTCTGGAATGGTAATGCCAGTCTCATATAGTCAGTATGGTATGTATCTTTCAATGATTAAACTTTCCAATAAGACCAGGGTGTTAAATTTATAAAGCTACATGGTTATTTGGAAAACATTTTAGAAGCCCTCTAGTGTTTACTTGGGTTTTTTTTAAAAAAAACTGTGTTTGTTATCTTAACCAATCCATAACAGATAACATGGAATTAATGGCCTAAGAGAAGTGAAAGAGGTGTAGTAGCTTCAGAAACAATTTTTTTATGTCCTTATAACTTGGAAATTTGCTCAGACATATAGCTGTAAATGTTAGATCATATCATCATGAAGAATGGTTTCTGTGAGGAAAAATGTGAATTGTCCCTGAAATAGAATTACTTAAAAAAATTGATTCATACATACACAATGTATGAATATAAATATTTCTATTTAATAGCTTTGATATAATTTGTATACCATATAGTTGACCTAATTGAAATGTATAATTCATTGTATCCTGTATCTTTACATTAGTATCACTCTGTAGGTATTTTATTATATAATCTTAACTGATATTGAAAAAAAGTTTAATAGAGCTAAAGGATGTCAGATATCATGTATAATTTTGACAAATTGGGAAAAAGGTCTGTTTGAAAGGCATTATGGTTTAGTAGATCTGTTTCTTTGGAGACAGACTGACTTCATGTGCTGTCTCTGCTTTTTCCTTGAAGTCTGATTTTGTTAAGTCACTTTTTAAAAAAATAAAACGGGGTTTAAAGTTGTTAACTGCCTTACTGGGATGTTCTTGGTATTCAATAAAATATAAACCATTTGATACTTAATGGGTGCTCAACAAATAGTAGCAGCTATTACCTTTTTTTCCAGGTAGTGTAGAATAGAGGTTCAGAGTACTCAGCTTAACCTTCTTGTGTTCAGACTCTGCTCTGCCACCTACTGGCTTGTGACCCATATGTGTCTGTCTCAGTGTTCTCTATAAAATGGGGTAATAATTATACCTATCTCAGGATTGTTAAGTGGATTGCATGAATTTATAGAGGTGAGTACTTAATTAAATTGATTTGTTTCTCTATGTTGATTTCTGTAGGAGACAAACTATGGGAGGTGCAGTGTGAGTCCCCAACCTTCACTGTGGCTTGGCACCCCAAAAGGCCTCTGCTTGCATTTGCCTGTGACGACAAAGATGGCAAATATGACAGCAGCCGGGAAGCTGGGACTGTGAAGCTGTTTGGGCTTCCTAATGATTCCTGAGAGGAGGACCTGACGTAAGGAGAGGAAGCCCTGCAGAGACACCATGTAGTTTGGCCTGTTCTCTTGGACTTGATGGATACCCTAAATATTTGTAAATTGCTAAAAATTATAAAAGTCTTTTGTGAGGCTGCCAGTTCCAGTTCCCTTCACATGTTTTATGTTAGCTTTTCCATTTTTCCCCCCAGTAACAGTTGGCTAAGGAGGACTTTGCACTGTGGGACCTCCTGTCTTCCCTGATTTTAGATATGTGGCAGACTTTGTGAGTTTGATGCTGCTTGGATAATGCCTAGTTTGGAGAGAGGGTGGGATGAGGATGGAGGCTTTTTAATGATTAAGAAAGAAATATATATATGTATAGTTTTGTGAATTGAGCATTTAACAAAACTGACTTTTTATTATGGGGTTTTGGGACTTTTATAGGTATGTATTATTATTAAAGGGAGATATTGCTGTTTGTATTTTCTTTTATAATCAGAGAAATAGAGTTTGAATGGTATAGTTCTGTTTAGTGACCTAACCAAAGAACCTGAAATATAGGAACAAAGCATTTAGTGCATGGGCTACAGCAATCCTTAGAAGTCATCAGTGGTTTCTGTGAATGTGTGCGTGGGCCTGGCTTCAGTATACACAGGATTTGTAGATAAATTATGACAAACACTGAGAAAAGTTATAAAATATAAACGAGAAAGACAAAATCAAGGTAAGACAAATGCAAATTAGAACAGAAAGTTATGACTGGGGAAATTAAATAGAAATATGTAAATATTGTTAAAAAGAACATGCCGGCTCCTCATGGAAAGCAAAGCCTCTTATCTGTAAGAGAAGTGGCTCATGCAAGGACTTGTTACCTATGAATGATATTTTGATTTTTCATTGTATCTTAATTTTTTTGTCATTAAAAATAAAACATAGAAATGTGCCTCAGTAAATGTTTATAAGGAATTTTGGGAAAAGTAGGTAAAAAGAAAAATTATTCCTGGTACCAAGAGATAACCATTATTAGCTTTTCAGTGGATAGCCTTCTGAGGTTTTCCTGTGTCCATATTATATATAAAAACATGTTTATTTTTATATAATCCTTGAAGGGTACACAAATCAAATATGACAAGATACATTAGGCAACGTGCCCAGTACTATGTTGAGTGCTATTGTAAACAGTAAGTCTTTTTTTTTTTTTTTAAAGAGAGAGAGAGAGAGAGAGAGAGAGAGAGAGAGAATTTTAATATTTATTTTTTAGTTATTGGCGGACACAACATCTTTGTTTGTATGTGGTGCTGAGAATCGAACCCGGGCCGCATGCATGCCAGGCGAGCGCGCTACCGCTTGAGCCACATCCCCAGCCCCAAACAGTAAGTCTTAATAGACATTTTTAGTTATTAGGCATTCCCTTCATGTCTAGTACTGTAATGAGCACTTTACTTTAGTTATTATTCAGTTTTTTGTTTTACGTTTGTTTTTTTGGAACTGGAGATTAAACTCAGGGTTACTTTAACACTAAGCTACATCCTCAGTCTTTTAAATTTTTATTTATTTTGAGGCAGTGTCTTGCTAAGTAGCTTAGGGCCTTGCTAAATTGCTAACTTTGGTGTTGAACTTGTGATCATCCTGCTTCAGTCTCCTGAGTTGCTGGGATTATAGGCATGCACCACCACCATGCCCAGTCTTTCAGTTTTTATAACAGCCTTCTGAGTTGGATATTTTTACCATTTACTACCCCACGGAATTTGAGTAAGTTAATGTTGCTTTTATGTCCATTTTCAGAACTAGGTTTGCTTAATGGCCCATATACCTTCCACTGCAATGGGCTACCCTTTTTCTACAGGTATTGCCATTCCCATTTCACAGATGAGTAAACCTTGGTTCTGAGAAGTTGACTAATGGCCCAGATTGATGAGTGGTTTGTTGAAACTGGTCTTGAGGTTCAGTAGTGTTTCTTTCAGTCCCCCAAACAACCTTTGTCACCCACCTAACCTGAAAAATGACTTTTCCGTTGCAAACAAGCTTGCTATTTCGTTATTTCAAAAGCTCAGTGTTATTCTTGGTGTATTTTTCTTGTTTTTGCAGTAATCTGCCTTTATTGTGGTTGCTGGTGTGTTTAAATATTCCTCTTAGCATTGGAAACTGATGCTAAGGGTTTGGCCGTGATCTTATTTTTTAAAAAAATTTTTTTGTGTTCTCTGAGTTTCGGTTAAGTAGTGATCTGCATCAATGGTGCAGATAGGCCAATCAATCTTCTACCATTTAAACATGTAGAGGGTTTTTTTGTTTTGTTTTGTTTTTGTTTTTTACTTATAACTAGGGGAGCACTTGTAGCAATAGACAACACTCCTCTGTGAGGAAAGAGCTCCAACTTACGGCAGCCTTTGCAGACTGTCAAGCTCTTGATAACACCATCTCTGTGCCTTGGCTGTGAAGTTTCAAAGTTGGGTCCATCCTGGGCAATGACATCACGTGTTCCAGACCAGGAGCCCTCCATAGTTTGAGTGATTTACTAATTTGCAGAGCTAGAAGGATGCCTGCTGTTCAGAGTCACAACTGGCCATTTATTATTCATTGAGTCCAGGCACATTGTACAGTTGCTGTATCAAACACTAGTGGGCTAGAGGTGAGTGGTGAGGATAGTGGTGGGATTTGCTGTAGCTATAACCCATTGCTGTGTTGATTGGAATTACTAGTCAGGCTAAGAAATAGGAACTTCACAGCATCATCTCTTCTGCCAAGGTCCTGGCATTTGTGTGGCATGAGATTCAGGGCAGGTTGAGCCATACCAAATGTTGAGCAATGTGTATGCCTGGGGGTTATTACTCTCACCCTAACCAACTTTGGGATAAGACGTGGCAGCTGAAGTCCCGACCAGAGACAGATGCAAGATCCAAAATCAGATGGGTTAAGGGAATAGCTAAGCCCAATGCAAGCTCTTCTTGACAAAGGAGACTGAGGTGGGGTATGAGAAGGGGGAGAGTCCATCCCCAGAGGGTGTATGTGTGTGTGTGTGTGTTTGAGGAGCTGGAGTGTGATGTGATGTGTGGATAGGTTCAATTTATAGTGGCAGGTAATGCCCTTGAGACCTTGCCTGTTTCAGAGATGTATTCTACTACCTAATGTTTTTAGTCACAAAATGGACCTTGAAATGTCCACCCTTTTTGGAAGGAAAAGTGCCCATAAAATGAAAAAATAATCAAGGGAAGAGAGATGGTATACATGGAATGCATTATAAACTCAGGAATACCTGTAAAGGTAAAGATGTTGCCTTCTCTCTCTCTCTCTCTGATAGTGGCACAGTGAAAATACCATTTTCTTCATATTTGGCTAGAACTAAATTTGAATCCTGGCTCTAGCAGTGATTTATTTGAACCCACTTTTCTCATCAATAAGGTGAGGGGATAATTAATTCCCTTCTCCATGGGTTATGAGGAGAGTGAGATGAGATGCAGCATTTGTGAAGTGTCTAGCATCCCACCTGGCACACAGGACATGCTTAATAAATCCCTTCCTCTGGTGTGAGATGGAGCAGTTCCTAATGGGGAGCACAGGGACTGGCTGCAGAGACCTGTCATCAGCCCATCAGCTTGGTGGGCTCCCCCTGCCACAACTGAGCGAGCCACGTTAATCATTCCAGGGGTAGGTGCCGTGGAGCAGGAGACTTATCCATCACACCTGGGCACAGCGGGTGTGTAGAGGAGAAATATTAGATCTGCTTTCTGCTGGCAGTCAGTTTGGGCCAATGATGGATGCGTGTGTGTATGGGGACCAGTAGAGCGTAACTCAGAACTGCACACCAGTGGGTGCCAGAGGAGGAGGAGGGCAAAGCTCCTGTTAGCTGCGGCTACTAGGAAAGGAGTGGATGAGGGGCGGTGGGCTCAGTGCAAGTCTTGAATATGGTGGATGTGGACATGGGCAGAGACCTGTGGGAAGGGGTGCTGCAGCTTCCAGTAAAGCCAAGGTTTCAGTGTCCTGGGATGGAGAAGGTGGAGAGGTGGAGAATGAGAGGGGGCTGGAGGGAAACAGAGCGAGGAGTGTCAGGCTCTGGCTGGTAGTGTGGCCAGGTGAGTAGGAAGAGATGGACAGACCTGGGTTCAAATCCTCATTCTGGGAGAATTTGACCAAAATTCTTTCACCTCCATGATTCTGCTTATCTTCATTTATTTATTTATTTTTTTTGCCTCACACATGGTAAGCAAATGCTCTGAGCTGTATCTCTGGCCTCAGTTTTGCTTGTCTTTGAAGTGTGCATATTAATAATATGATTTAGGATGAAGTTAGTTGATGTGAAATTGCTGGCAAATTATCCATGTTCAGTAAATAGCTATTTATGATGTAAGTGTTGTATTACATATTTGTGTAGTATATCCCTGTGCCTTAGGAAGGGTCTTGAATTGTTCCCTGCACATATCACATTTTGCTCCAGACTATAAACAATATAATTTAGCCCTTGATTAAAATGATGTGAGATGGAGTGTGATTTGGAGAAACTGAATATTTAACATTATCTATCACACTCGACCACTGAGCCATGTCTCCAACCCTATTTTGTATTTAGAGACAGTGCCTTGCACTTTGGTCACAAATCCCACTGAGTTGCTTAGCTCCTTGCTTTTGCTGAGGCTGACTTTGAACTCATGGTCCTCTTACCTCAGCCTCCCGAGCTGCTGGGGTTACAGGCCTGTGCTGCTGCACCTGGCTTTAAGTTTGATATTATTGCTAACATGGAGCCATAAGTTGCATAAGTCATTGAGTTTGTGTGTGTGTGTGTGGTGCTGGGGTTTGAAGCCAGGACCTTACATCTTAGGTAAGTGCTATACCACTGAGCTAACCTCCAACCTTGAGTGATTGAATTTTAAGACAGCCATCATCTCAGTCTTTTACTATTTAGGAGAAACAGGCCTGAATGTGAAAATATGCCCACCCTACCAGCAGTGTAGTAACAAGGTCACCTGGGACCACTGGTCCACAGCTGAATCTGGGAGGCCACCATGGATCTCCCAAGAACAAGTTGGTAAACCCATGTTTCCTCTTACCTTTCTGATAATGTTACTGGGTTGCAGGTCAGGAATGGTGCAGATAGGCCAATCAATCTTCGAGAACATCTGAGGATATGGCCTTGAGCACCAAAGGAAATCTGGGCTCGCACAGGCTGATTTGTACCTGGTCATAACTGTACCCTGAATGGAGATTAAAGTCAACTGGGAGACATTTTCTCTCCTAAAATGAGATGTCACTGTGGGGTTTGGGTTGAAGATGGTCAGGCCCACGATCATTTATTGAACATTTATGATGGACTGCATCTCCTCCAAAATGGCAGCTGAAATGCTTTACTTAGCATATAGAGAGAAGGCCCTCTTGTCCTCTTTGTTGACCTTTGGATTGACCAAAAATTGAACTTTCTTCTAGGCATTGCACACGGTCAAGAAGAATAAATCAGACTACCCATTTTACAGATGAAAACTAAGGTTCCAAAAGTTTAGAGAACTTGCCCAGGGTCAAAGGTCAGTACCTTAGTTTGAAGCCCCTGTTTTTTCCACTGTTTTATGCCTTGCACTTTGGTCACAAATTCCAAGTGTTTCAGCCTCATCTGGATGTAGCTTAACAATAACACAGGCTTAGGAGTCTCAGGAGTTTTACTATCAACTTTAGGATTCTTTCTTTTTGTGGGAAAGGTGCCACACTGCTGATGGACAGAAACCAGAGAGGAGGAAAATTTAGCTTAGTGAACTAAAAGTGAATAACACATTTGGACAAGAAGGTTCATTCATTCCGCCTTCCTGAATTCCTGTCTGGTGCTGGCCTGAGTGGAGCACCAAGGTACAATGTGAAGATGAAACAGTATCTGTCCTAGGAGGCCCATCCTGGTGTGAAGATGGTGACAATAGTATGATAGTAGTTTCATAAAAGGGCAAGTCAGATCACATTTCTCCCTTGCTAAG